CCACCAAGCACGTCCACCACCACTACATCCACCACCACACCGTGCCCAAGACGAAGGAGCAGATCGAGGCCGAGGCGGCGCAGCGGGTGCAGTGCTGCTGCCCGGCGGGCGGCGACTACTACTGCTACCCCAAGTGCAAGGGCCACCCCAAAAACACAGACCCTCCTCTCCCTCCGCTGGAGCCCTTCGGGTAAGTCACCGGCATCTCTCCCCCATTGCACCTGCCCCAAACCACGACCCGTCACTGATGGGGGACAGGGGCTAACGGTGGGCTTGTGTCCCTTTTTGCCACCAGCAGGACGGGGACGCTGCTGAAGAGGCCGGGCCGAGGAGTGGAGAGCGTGGCCCCGCCGGCCGGGGACGGGGGGCTGCCTGGCCCTGCTGGGGTGCAGCTCCCCGGGGGTGAAGCAGACCGGGCGCAGAACGTCTGGCAGTGGATGCTGGAGAGCGAGAGACAAAATAAGCACAAGCCCCATAGGTAAATACGCAGCTGTCTACAGCAATATCGCTCCCGGTAAATATTTATATATTACATGGGCTGTCTATTTTTACAATCGCTAAAAACAAATGAGACTCTTTGCTCCTCCGGTTTAATATAAAAGCTGTTCCGCAGAACCAGAAAAACCACAAAAATGTCATGTTTTTGGCAATAAACCTCCTTTCATGTTATGACAGACTTTTGAGAGGGAGCGAGCAGAATAGGAGCTGCTATTAAAGTCATATTTTCCAGCTTTTCTAACCCGACTTCTTCCCCTCCCCAAGCACACAAAGCACAAAGAAGGCCTACAGCTCCGACTGCGCCAAGGGGGCCCCCGGCCGCCACCACCCGTGGGGGACCGGCAGCCACCCGCGCGGGGCACAGCCCGCCCACCCCTTCGTGCAGGACCCCGCCATGCCCCCGCTCACCCCGCCCAACACCCTGGCCCAGCTGGAGGAAGCGTGTCGCCGCCTCGCCGAGGTCTCCAAGCCGCAGAAACAACGGTAATGGCCCCGGGAGGGACAGTCCTGGTCCTGTCGTGGGTTCCGGGGAGCAGCGGGGCTGAGGGAAGGTTTGCTGGGTGCCGGTTGGGACGGTGGGCATGGATGGTGTCCTTCCCATCCAGGCTGGGAGTCAGCCATGGGGCCGGGCCGTGGGGGTGTGTGACAGCACGGCTTGGCCGAGCCCGGAGGATGAGCCTCCTTATTCCAACCCCACCCTGCACCGGCACAAATAGTTCAGATCCGAGACTATTACTTCCACTCTTTTGATGGCTGTAATTTGCCCGTTTTTCCTCTGGGACAGGCTCCAGCTACATACCAAGTGGGGAATTGGACTGGTTATCGTTCATTTGGGTATGGAAGGATAAATTAGCCCACAGCATTTTTAATTCTTCCTTTGATTGTTTACAACATGTGAGGCTTGATACAAAGAGCGAACTTAACGACCCACAGGAGACTTCAATTAAGAAGATTGTATTTCAACAATTTTTTTTTTTAAAGTTGTTTTTTTCCCTTTTTTCTTTTTTTTTCCCCTCCTCTTCTTCCCCACTTGCCCTCCCCTTCCCTCCACTTCAGATGCTCAACCTCAAATCAGCAGAGGGACCGAAACCACTCCGCTGCCATTCAGGGGGGAGGCACCCCTTTCTGCAATGCAAGTCTAATGACAGAAGAGTGAGTATTGCACGTGCAGAAAAAGATTGGGAAATAAATATATATCCCTCATAATTATATTTTCATTTAATGGATTGCACTTTGAAAAGAGAGGAAATTCTTATATCTGAAATTTCGCCTTTCAAACATTCTTCTTAAAGAAAGAACAAAACATTTTCAAATCTTGTCTCTGGCTCTTTTTAACTTGCATTCCTGTAAAGTGGACAAAGATTGGATTAGTCTAATTACAGGATGGTTCTTTTAACAAGAAATCTGCTACAGAGAGGTCTAAAATGGCCTAAATAATTAAAGTTTTCTTTCTTACCCTCTTCATCTTAAGCAATGAGTAATGTTTGAAGTCCAGACTGAGCCACCTGACTAGAGCCTTTCATTTTTAATTGGTTGACCTTAAGTCCACCAGCTGTCTTTGCTAGCAGCTTTTTTTTCTGAAGCCACTCTACAAAGACTTAGAACAAATTAGGAAGACTAAATTACTGCGGACTAACACTTTGTGACCTTTTGACATGCCAAGTGTACATTGCCTCAGAAGCAGTTGTAGATTTGGCTGCATGGTATTCACTAGAGCGTTGCCATTTTGCTGGGTAATGTTGTTTTAATTATTCTTTAAGAAGGGTTTCTTGGGTGCAAATGGCAAAATCCAGTTAATTTTATCCTCACTGGGAAAAATAAGATTACCTGGGTGCTTCAGGTGAAGCATCTGGCGGTGGGTTTGCTTTGTGAGCTGGTGGTTGCAGGTGGGTTTGTGCACGAGGAGAAAATTTGGCAGATGCTTTGTTTGAAGGCAGATGAAACGAGCCTTTTAAAACCCAAGGTGTGCAGTCCTGGGGCTCTCCAGGTACAGTGAGCCTGTGGTGAGTCCTGCACCTGCTCACCTGGCCTGTGCTCCTGCTCCTGGATGCTTCCAGGAGGCATCCAGCCAACCTCCATCCCTGGGTTCACCCATCCATAAGATGGTGATGCCATGATTCCAAAGGGGAATGGCTTCAAGCTGAAGGAGGGTGGATCCAGGTTAGATATTACAGAGAAACTCTTCCCTGTGAGGATGGGGAAGCCCTGTCATAGAGAAGCTGTGGCTGCCCCATCCCTGGAAGTGTCTAAGGCCAGGTTGGACGGGGCTTGGAGGAATCTGGGCTAGTGGAAGGTGTCCCTGCCCATGGCAGGGGTTGGAATGAGATCAGCTTTAAGATCCAGCCCAGCTCAAACCATTCTGCGATTCCCACCAGGAGCTGCTGTGGGAGCCCAGCAAAGGGCTGTGCAAACACATCCCAGCAAATTCCCAGCCAGTACAGGAATATCTGATTTTTGGGTCACACCCAGGGGTATTTCTGACAGTGTTCTGTGTGACAGGAGCACTGCTGGTTTGAGTGTGGTGAAACAGCCTGTTCTCAAATGGAAAAATAGAGGGGTTTGTGTGTGTTTTCTGTTTTTCAGTCACAAAGAGCCAAAGAAACTGCCAGTTGTTCACACCTCTCAGTCCAGCGAGTTGGTTGTCACCTATTTTTTTTGTGGAGAAGAAATTCCCTACAGGAGGATGTTAAAGGCCCAGAGCCTGACACTTGGGCACTTTAAAGAACAGCTGAGCAAAAAGGGAAATTACAGGTAAGAATCTGTGAATTGTTTTTTCTTCAGTGCGTTTTACCAAGTCAAAAGAATTAGCAGAGCTCTTGCAGGGCTACCTGCAGTGACATGTTGGCCTCAATTTTCAGGGGCTGTAGATCATCTTACTCTCTTCCCACTCAAAGCAGGAGCAACTTGGAGATGGAAAAGGTGCCCTGAGCCACAGCTCAGCTGCAGGGCCACCTCCTCCCCACCTCCCCAGCCTCCTCCCCGGTTGCCTTACGATCTGTGCTCCAGCCCTTCTCCAAAAAGCTGGATGGAATATCAGGGAAATCTGGGATGGCCTTGTGGCAAAGGCATTGGAGCAGTGGGATTCAATTTCCAGACTGGGATCAGCATTCATCTTGGTGCTGGTCTCCTTTAACTGTTTAGTTTTTCATTATTTTTTTGCAGTGGTGTGGCTGTAGTGGGATCAGTGACAGGCTGGGATGGTCCAGCTGAGGGACATGGAGCTGAGATGGAGCTCCCTCACTTTTCTCTTTGTTAGGGGGAAAAAAAAACCCTCTGCCCTGCAGAGAAAGCTCCACCAGCAATACCCAGATCCTCCTCAGAAATTCCAACAAACCCTGCTGGTCTGGTTTCCAGGGCACAGCTCCCAGTTAAACCAGTTTGCTGCTTCCTCTGCTCTTACAGTTTTCATGGCAGGAGCTTCACATTGACTCTTTTTGCTACCATTTCCCAGTGAATCTACTCTTGGGATCCTCTGTTGGCCACTTCTGTGGGGTGAGCAGAAGAGGGAGGGACATTCCAACTATTTTTTTGAATTTGCACTGAAATTGGTGGTGCTTCAGAGAACTGGGTGTCTTACCCTGTAACTGGCAGCCTCTGATTTAACCTCCAAATGGTCATTTGGGTCTGGTTTGAGGAATTCCCAGCTTGTTGCCCCATCACTGGCCTCTCTAACTTTGGGAAGTCCACCCATGCAGCTCAGAGGTCGGTGACCCACAGACACTCTCAGGCTGTGGGGGTGCTGGGTTGGGGTCTGTCTATGGCTGTTGCACAGTGAGGCTGAAATACAGCCAATCCTTCCCCAAAAACCATCTTTGCAGCCCACCCAGCTGCCATCAGATGGCACCAACCTGCAAGTCCACCCACCCTGGACACCCTGCAGGAGAGGTGCCTGGGCTTTTGGCACCCTTGTGCCATTTTCCAGCCCCTAAAGCCTCCCACTCTTTCTCCTCCTCATGCCCCATTTGCAGACCGATTTCCCTCAACTCACCACTGCTCTGCCAGCTCCAGTGGCTGTCCCACCCCCCTCCTAAAAAAAAAATAATTTTTTTAATGTTTGTTTGTTTTCTGTGACATTTTTTGTGTAATGCCCAACTGCAGGACTAGGCTGCTAAAACCTCCGTGGCCCAAAAGCCCCTCTAGGTGCAATTATTTTTGCCTTGTCAGACTGTAATTACTTTAGAAAATGTTTTTAAGTGACTGACAAGGATGAAACAACGCTTTGCTTAGATCTCACCCCTTTACACCTGGGTAAAGACAATACAGAAATTTATAAAAAAGGGAACTTGGGTACGTGCCCAGTATTTTATCTTGCACAGACACAAGGTGAAACTAATTACACAAATGTGTGTACCTCCAGGGAATCATTTTGATCTAAGCTTTGACTTTTGGCTGGACTTTGAGTGAAACTGCGGGTGACCTTCAGGGGAGAGGTCCACAGTGCCCGGAGTAGCGTGTGTGTTACGGGGAGGCACTAACTAGGCCGCTTTGGTCACATCTGGCATTGATTTCTTTTTAAGGCACATTTAATAAGCATGTCTTTGAAGCCGTTGCCTTTCATTTAATGCACAAAGACACGCAGAAAAACGCTCCGCTCTCTCCCCAAATTCTTTATTGATTGGATCAGTTTGCGAGGCGGGTACCTCGGGCTCCCGCGATGCCAGAGCCCTGCCGTGGGGCAGCCGCCGGGAAGAGCCGCCCTGGCTTTCCATCCACCTCCCCCCCTCAAAAAAAAAAAACTAACAAAAAAAAAAAAAAGAAGGAATTAAGCAGTGATTTAATACCGATGGCGTTAACGAAAAACAAACATACACAGAAAAAAAAAAAAAAAAAAAG